GGTTGGGGAGTGCGCCGCGAACGCCAAAGTCTACCATCGTGGAATGGTATGCGGAGCCCTCTCCACGTCAACGCCGGGCTGCAACGCTTTGCTGGTGTCTTTTGAGTTGCGGCAGCCTTTGGCCTCCCGTGACTAGTGCAAAGCTGAGTGTTCTGCGGACATGTTTGGTCGCCTCTCGCACGCGCTTCCACCTCGATCGCAGCTCCGGCGCGCGCGGAGGTCGGCAGTTGCCGATGGCGATGGCGCGCTCGATCCGTCATTGAATGCGAATGGCGGTCGCGACCGCGACGAGTTCGCTGGCGCGCTCTTTCCGAAGTGCACTGTCAATCGTGCGCGCCGCTGCTTCAAGAGGCCGCTTGTCGCTTATGGCGGAGCCTTGCATTGTTGGCGTCGCCAGATGGGCTTTGAGATTGCCGACTCTTTCGTCGACTTCGTCGCTCTGCTGTCAAATTTGCTGCAGAACAATCTTGTTATTGCTAGGGCTTGTCCATTAGCTTCATGGCTCTACATTGCGGCCTGCCCGTTTCTCCCCTCCCTCCTCCTCTCCCTCCTCCTTCCTGCGTCCGCGAGCTGGCCGCGCGCTTTGCGCGTCGGAGCCAGCCTCTGGGCCCGGCCGCGGCGACGCTCCTGACGGTCGGCGCCGCGCCGGCGCTGGCGGGTTCCCGTTCTTGAGGGGAGAGGCGGGCGCCCGCCAGGGCGCGCCCGGGAATCTGCACCTCGGGTCCGCGTCGGGAACCGCGGGCCCCGTCGAGGCAGGAAATCCAGGCCCTGCGCCCCCCGCGGCAATGGCTGGGGCCCCGTTTCCATGCGGGGGGCCCCCCCCGGGCCTCCCCGCGCGCGGCGCGGGCGCGGGCGCCGGGGAAGTGGGCGCCGCGGCCGGGGCGCTGCGCCCAGCACGCCCGCGCCGTCCAGGAGATTCCGCAGGGGCGCCCGGCGCCAGGCGAGGCGCCGCGGCCCGCGCCCGAGGATTGGTCGGGGAGGGCGCGCTACGCAGACCCAGAGTGGGAAAGGAAGGATGCGCGCCGAGACCCCGGCCCTTTCTCACGAGGGGACCGGCCCAGGAGCCCCCGCGCCCCCGGGCCAGGGCGCCCCCCCGCCTCCGTGGCCGAGGCGGGGGTGCTCCGCGCGAGGGCGAGGCGGGACCTTCCGGGAACGCCCATCTGATGCGCATAGTGCACCCGCTCATTTCGCCGGCGGCCCCCCTGATTCAGCGTCGGTCGCTGAATTTTGCAACGGTCGGCGCGGCACTTTAGCGACGCATCTCTCTGCGGCGACCGCGGCGCGATATTGTTCTACGGGGGGGCGCTTCTCTTGCAATGGGTCAAGCGTTTCCATGCGCGGGGGGGGGGGGGGGGCGGGGTCGCGCTTCTCGCGTCGCGCCACGCAGCGCGCCGGGAGGCGCGGCCCCCATGGGAAAGAGCGTCTGGCGAAGGCGCTGCATCCTCCAAAGGAAGCGCAAAAAGGAATGAATGCGCAAGGGTGGAATGCGCGGCCTCCTGCGAGGGGGGAATATTGATGTTTGGACGCGGCCGCGCCGCCCGCGCGGGAAGGGGGCGGGGGGGGGGGGGGGGGCGGGCTGCGGGGGGGGGCGACAAGACGAACGATGAGGGGCCCGCGGAGAAGCGGGGGCGCGAGGGGGAAGGCGGCCGCGCGTTCTGTAAAGACGGAAGAGCGTCGCACGCACGCCTCGCCGCCGCATTTGTCGCGAGCGCCCGAGGCCGCGGCGGCGGCGCCCCCCGCCCGCCGCGGCGACGTGGGCCCGCGCGCGCGTCGGCTCTCCGGGCGAGGGGGCTCGCGGGAGGTCTCGAACGGGGCCATCTGCATCCGCGCATGGAAGGTCCATAATTTCGCGCGCATTGGCAGCTACAACGACATCGCCCCCGAGAGCGTAACCTTCTCGACGAGCGCGAACGAGCAGACGCCGAGGTTGTCCGCGAAGGAACTCCGGAGAGGTCTCAAGGACGCGCTGCGGCTCCGGGCAAACGCGGCGGCGGAGACGCTGTCACGGCGCAACGAGAATGACGGGGGGGTGCAACGGCCCCCGCCCGCAGCGCAGGCGGCGATCAGCGCGCGGGCTAGAGGGGGGCGGCGGAGAAGCTTCGCTCGCGGGAAAGTCTCGCAGGTCGACGACTCAGCGACAGCCTGACTCCGCTCCGAGTGGAACAGAGCTTCGCGGCGGCCCGGGGGCGGCGCCCGCCTCGGGCGGCGCCGCGCCCGCCAGCGGAGATGGCGCCCCTGCCTGCGACGGCGCGAAGAGCGCCCCGCGGACGCGCTCGGGCGACGAGGGGGCGCGGCTCATCCTGTCGCAGGAGACCGCGGCCATCAGCCCGCCGACCGCGCGGGGGGGCGGCCGCGGCGGCGGCGCCTCATGCTGCGGCAGCCGACGCGCGGTAGTTTTCCGAGAGAGAGAGAGAGAGAGAGAGAGAGAGAGAGAGAGAGAGAGAGAGAGAGAGAGAGAGATAGAGAGAAGGAGGGAGAGAGAGAGAGAGAGAGAGAGAGAGAAATAGAGAAAAAGAAACATACAGACAATCAGACAGACAGAGACAGAGAGAGAGAGATAAATAAACAAATCAATACCGAGAGAGAGGGAGAGAGAGAAAGAAACAGTACAAAAGAAAACAAAGAAAGAGAGGGAGAGAGAAAACAAACCAACATACATATATATATATAGAGAGAGAGAGAGAGAACAAAACACATAGAGAAAGAGAGGGAGAGAGAGAGAGAGACAGAGAGAGAGAGAGAGAGGAATAGAGAGGAAGAGCGAGAGTGGGAGTGCGAGAGCGCCGTCGCGGAGTGCGCGAGCGCATCCCACCCCGCAAACGGGATTGTTCGTAGTGGGGTGCTCCTGCGCGCGCTTCGCGATGCTCGTGCCCCGGCCGCGCCGCCCTGCCTCGGCTGCTGCCGAGAGCAAGCTCCATCGTTTATAGAATCGTTCCGCGATTGTGAATGTCGCACCGTCGCCCCGCGATTGAAGTCTCGAGCGAAGACCCCTTGGCCATGCGTCGACTGCGCGTCGTGCCATGTGCGGCGGCGCAGTAGCGCAAATTCGAAGACGAAGTAATTCGCGCTCGTGCTGGCGCGCAGCACCGCGCAAACAACTGGTGCGCCGCGTCGGCGACAGGCTCGGTGGCGACAGTGTTTGCGCTGGAGTCGGCGCACGGCGCCAAGCAGCTTCCTCGCTTGCCTGGAAAGCGCTCGCGCGCGCGCAGGCGAAGACTCGCGCGTCGCATGGGGGGGGGCCCTGTCTCGGAACGCAATGCATCGCGCTGGGGTCGGCGCGCGGCGCCAATCCGATTCCGCGCGCGCCTGGCAAGCGCTCGAGCGCGCGCGTGGTGACTCCCCGCGCGGCGCTGGCAGCTTCGTCGCAAACGATGTTTGCGCGGCGGTTGGCGCGCAGCGCCGAGCGGGATGGCGCCCCGCCGCGCGGCCGGCGGCCGAGTGCGCGCGGGCGCCCCAGCGGCTGCGTCGCAGCAGCGTCGCAGACGAAAGCTATCGCTTCGCCGCCGCCGCGCGGGGGGGGGGCTGCGTGAGGGGGCGACTCGCGCGTCGCATCGTCGGCTGAACATTGGACCGTGCTGCGCTGCGCTGGGGTCGGCGCGCGGCGCGAATTCGATTCCGCGCGCTTGGCAAGCGCTCGAGCGGCGCGGGTGGCGCCTCGCTGCTCGGCCGGCGACCGAGCGCGCGCGGGCCCCCCCGCGGTCGCGTCGCAGCGGCGTCGTAAACGAAAGCCATCGCTCCGCCGCGCGGTGGGGGTGCGCGAGAAGACGTGGGGGCGACTCGCGCGTCGCGTGGTCGGCTAAACCATTGAACGCACTGCGTGTCGCCGGGGTCTGCGCGCGGCGACGCCCCCGTGTCTCGCGCCGAGATCGGCAGTCGACGCGCAAACGCTGCGCCGGGCGGGGGGGCGGCGGCGTGAGAAGACGTCAGCAGAGCGCGCCGCGTGCGAGCAGCGCGCAGAGTCGCTCTCGGGGCGCGCCAGAGAGCGCCGCGTGCGAACGGCGGGCATGCAGAGAACCGCCCACGGAGCGCGCCAGAATGCCCCTCGCGCGCGCGAGCGGGCGCGCGCGAGAGAGCCCGCGGGGCGCGCCAGAGAGTGCACCGCGCGCGAGCGGCCCCGCGCGGAACCGACTTCTGGGCGCGGCCTTGAATGCCGCGGGCGAGCGGGCACGCGCGGGGGCGCCCTCGGGGCGCGCCGGCACGCGCCGCGTCCGAGCGGCGGCGCACAGCAGCGCCTTCAGGGCGCGCCCATGTGCGCCGCGTGCACGCGGACACGCACGAGAACGCCCTCGGAGCTCGCCGAGGTGCACCGCGTGCGAGCGGGCAAGCGCGGATCCGCTCTCGGGGCGCGCCAGCGTGCGCCGCGCGCGACGGGCGCGCGCTAGAGCGCCTTTGGGGTGCGCCAGAGTGCGCCGCGTGCGAGCGGGCGCGCGCGGATACGCCTTCGGAGTGCGCCGAGGTGCACCGGAGAGGGACAGATGCGGATGCGTATGAGGAGGGCAGATGCGGATGCGGACGAGGCGTACGCGATTGATGAAGAGGATGCGGCGCAGGAGGAGGAGGAGGGATGAGGAGGAAGAGGAGGAGGAGGAGGAGGAGGAGGAGGAGGAGGAGGAGGAGGAGGAGGAGGAAGAGGAACACCACGTCCCAGCGGGGGCACGGAATCAGATTCCCCCCCCCTCCCTCTCCAGCCTTCCCCCCCCGCCAACGCCCGTGATCCCCTCTTCGTTCCCGCATCCGCTTTCTCACTTTCCAGAGTCCCACACCAGGAGGATAGTTTTCGGGCTTTTCAGTTTGTCGCCGATGGACGAGCCAGGCCCGATGGAGTGCTTCTTTTCTTCTTGCACACTCCAGTTGATTGGGTCGGGGCCCTTTCTCGGTCGCCACGGCAGACGTTCCCTCCCCTTCACAAACCCCGCTTGACCCGTCACCGACCCGCGTGGCCGCTGCCGCCCAGACCCACCGAACGGCCGGATCTCAGCTGGCAAAGGCCGCCTCCTCAGGGCGACCCGCTCGAGCGCCACAACTCGCTGCCCATCTACGCGGGCCTGTCGGACACGCGAACGATGAGGAGGTGGAGGAGGAGGACTGGGGAAATGGAGGAGGAGGAGGAGGAGGAAGGGGAGGAGGAGGAAGAGGAGGAGAAGGATGAGGGAGGAGGAGGAGGAGAAACAAGAACGGGAAAACAAACAGGGGGAGGCGGGGGACGAGACCAAACCCGGGATTACTCGTCGATGTTGCAAAACACCATCTCGTCCCAAGTCCCCCATCAGCAGTCATCGAACATATTGTTGCCCATTGTTGGAAGCTTTTGAAAGGCGATCGCCTCAGAGGCCTGCCATCCAGGCGAAAGCCTGTCTTGAAACAAATCGGGACTCTCTTTTTTTCCCGAGCTATAAGAGGTGTAATCCTGCAGGGCCAGAAAGTTCAAGGAGGTGTCCAGCAATTGCCCCACTTTCGAAAACGAGCTGCCCCCCACCCTTGTAGTTGTTGCACAAGTCCGGATTTCTGATCTTTAAACTTGAGTGTGGATCACGCGAGAGCCCTTCTTCGAATAGGACCTGCCGTACATCCTTGGGCAGTTATTCCTTTTCCTTCTCTCCCTTGTTTCCATTTTTTTATTTTTTCCCCCGCCCTCCTGCTTCCTCCCCTCCTGTTTGTAGCTGTCGGCTGTCCCGGCAGCGTGGGCGATACTCAGTCCGCACATGGCGTTGCCCGCTGGCGCGGCTCGAGTTCGGGGCTATCGTGCGTTCCCGCCGGTCTGCAGGGCTCGGTGGATCGAACGTGTCTAAAATTCGGGTGGCGGAATTCCGCCCCAGGGACGCTAGACCGTGCCCCCGGCGACGACCGGCGGCGCCTGTGACGAGTCTCCATATAGTCAGACTTTAATGCAACGTCGCTGGTTCCGCGTGATGTCTTTGCCTCGCCCGCCGAGCTGCAGGCTTGGGGTTTCTCCCTCTCCTCCCTGCCTTCCCACTCTTTCCCCCCTCGAGGCGGAGCACTGGCTGACCTTGCTGGGGCTGGCCCGCCCCACCCCTCCACCCAATTGGCATTGCCGTGTTGCACGCTGGCAGCATGCCTTGGCGATGACTGGCTGTGGAATCCTTTCGTCGTCGTTGTCGTTACTCCCTCTTCTTTACCTACCCCGACACATGACTATATCGCGCCGCCGCCCGGCTTTGCGATTTTCGATGGCGTGTTCCTTTCGCCTTGGCGATGGGGTCGCCTCGGCTCTAGCTGTATCTCTCGGCAGGTTGGAGCCGCCTCATGTCTTCGGTGGGGACGCTCCCCTTACGTGTTGATTGTATGATTTCTGTTTGTCTAGGCCACCGAGGGTGCATAACCGGGCCAATGAATGTCGGCAGCTCGAGTCGTTTTCCTCCTCTCCTCTCCTCCCTCTCTCTCCTCTCCCTTCTCCTCGGAGTCTCGGTGATAGTTTGTTGGTCTTTCTGCCTGATCCCAGGTTCGACCGCTTAGATTGTTGGTTGAGTTCTTCCCATGGCGATGCGATGTTTTGATACGACTGGCAATGCACGTGTCAAGATGTACTCGCTTGTCCGTGCTTCGCGCGGTTGGTATAGCCATCCTTAGGGGCAGCGAATGTTTATATGTTTTCCTGATTGCGTGCCTTGAACACACACGCATCTACGTGTGTAGCTATATATATGGGAATATGCATTGCAGAATTATGAGCTTTGACCGAGCAGGTTCAGCAAACTTGTAACGAAAGGCCATGCTGAAGGGCGAAGGGGAAACGCCCTCCATCCGTGTGGTTGTTCGAAGCCTTGAAGACGACTGAGCGCAGCGCTACGGCGACAGCCACATCTTGATACCTGCTCGCCCTCCATGCATGATCAACCAGTGCCAGATTTCGATCAAGACGCCAAGGACGCGATGCGCATGGAAGAAGAAATCAGAGCCGAACACTGGCGGCAATACCAACATCAAGTACTCATAGCAGACGAAGCAGGCAGACGGCAAGACGAGCCCGGAGGCATCGTCGGCGACGAACGCGACGACGCCCGCGACCAGATGGACGGCGCCACGGCACCGCGCAGCCGTGCGCGTATACCCATGCAACATGTCATTGGCACAACACCTGCGCCGCACCGGCGACGCGCCCCACCACGACGAGTTGACCTACCACCGGAGCCACTAGTCACACCGAAAGAAGTATACTTACCCAGAGTACCACAACCGCGCGCCTCAAATGGCAGCGGGGCGGCGACTGCGCACTCACATCCAATGGGTGACGCACCGCAGTGCGTCACTACGCCGCGACAGCAAGAGACGGCGGGTCAATGCTAAGCACTCCAGCAGCTTGCAGAAGTGCAACTGTTGGCTCTGCAAAGACAAGTCACACTCAGGGTGGGTCCCAGCGGTCGACCCCAAGCATCTCACCCGCCGCCTAGGCGCCCCCCCAACGTGCACCAGCTATGATCCAGAGCACTGGTGGCGCAGACGCAGCACCACTGCTGGACGCTCGGTCACTAGGGCCAACAAATTAGAAGCCGACTTGGCCCCTTTGGCAACGGGCAGTTTCGCCCAGCATAATTAATTCACTTGCTTCGGCCCAGGGGGCCAGCGCCACTAGCGCGCGGAATCCCGTGCCGGACCCGCGAAGAGCCAGATGAGGTGTACAGGCCGCCGATATAGCAGCACAAGCGGCGCGTCCTCCCCGAACTCCGTCCACGCAGCCAAGTGGCACTCAGGCGCCGAGGACAGCAGCCAAGGGCGCAGCGGAGACGACTAAAAGTGCGCTCTCCCGCCCTGCACATTGACATCACAATCGCCAAGCCAAGGACATGACATGCACTGCCCACCAAGCAGGAAAGCATACAGTACAAAGAACGACTACAGTGACGAAGACGGCGACGGTGACAGCTGGCCCTACGCAGTGTACTACAGTGCCACCGACAGCACCTATATTTGCACTTTCCCCAACGACCACCTGCTATTGGTTGGGTGGGGTGGCACAGGGGCCTTGACAAATGCAAGCAGGAATACTTCGTGAGCAACAATTACCCGTGCGTATTACCGCATCCACCGCCCAAGCCAGGCGCCAACGCCACGCGACTATCAATCCTCAAGCTTCCACCCCCTGGGCCGACCGCGCGCATGCCACTCGAGGGCGCCGCAGATGCGCGCCTTCCACCACCGCGACCGCGACCAGGCGATCAACGGCGCGTACTGCTAGGACGGAGCCTACAAGGCTCTAATGCATTACATGCACAAAGCAGACGCCTGGTTAGCAGTCAACTTCACCAACGGGCACTTCAGTCTTACCCAGTACACCTACAACAATGTGCGACACAACCAAGCAAGCCATCACCATTGTATCATAATGGCTACAAGACAAGCCCGTAGCGACTACGACGACGAACTGGAATCTGAGTGGACAGTCATTATACAACACGCAGCGTGGTTTTTGCAGCACATCTGTAGTCAAATTGATATGCCTCACAGCACAAGAGACGTCAATGATCACAGCCTCACATCGCCCGCATGAAGCTCCACGGACAGCGACCACCAGCCAGAAGACACATCACGACCAGCTCCACAGGAAGACCCAGCTACACAACCGCATGCTATGGCCACGTCAATCCAACAACCATCAAGCGCGATTGCACCGACAACGCAGCACACCAACACCACCCGAGCGATAAGTAGCCCAATTCGCCCACCCCCGCCAAGACTCAAGATCCCAGTGGTGTGTTCACCGCTCAAATCAGCAGCGGCGCAGTTACGGCCCACCAACATGTCAACACCAGAGCTAGCATCACAAGCATACGCGACCCTGCACATACAGTTTCGACTAAAAGCACCACTTACCCACTTGCCAGACGGTCAGACGGGCCCAACACCGATACCCCAACACGCGGAAAACATAGAAACACTACATGTCGAGAACATCAACGACAAGCGATTCTTGCAGCACCTGGACACAATTCGGAACCACCAGCAGCAGCACGTGGAATAAATGCGACAACGCAACATACGCAACGCGGAATCACAGCCGCGACGGGCAATTACGTCGGCAATGGCAGCACCGACCATGCCCAAGATCAAGCCCTTACGCCAGAGGACGAAGCCCCACAAACACCAAAACCAAGGTTCCCCACTAGACAAGCTGATGGTGGTGTGGAGAGCACTGGGGGTAGAACGCCGACCCCCACGCAGACCATCTACTGCACGACGGCATCCAGGAGGATGGATCACCATTCCCGGCGCAAGATATGGTGGACATTTGGGTACAGGGGTATTCTACAACCTCGCATCTTCCACCTCCCGGCTTTCAGTGAACCAAGTGCCGCATCGCAGCGTGGAAGTGGCTACTGGGACTTGTCTACGACCCCGCAATTTCTACATCAGCTACCTCCAGCGCTCCAGGCACCTCCAGTACAAGGATGACTGATTCGCCTCTCCACCTCACATAGTTTGCTGGCGCCCAGCGTGTCGCAATTGATTTGTTTCTCCCTCAACCCCGCTCGCGTTCACATGGCTTTACGCTGCAGCAGTTCGAGGCATCTGCCTCGCACTTTTCTCGGCCTTAGTTTCACGGATCGCGCCTTCTTTGACTGTCCATTTATCACAAGTTTTTTGGGCGAAGCTCTCTAAATGTCCCCCCTTGCTGTCATCTCCTTCGCTCGCCGCCGCCGTCGTCTCGTCTGTTTCGCTCCCCTCGCACTTCCCGCTCCTTTTGTTGGCCGTCGGCCTCCATTCCCCCCTCGGAAGCAGTCCCTCGCTGATGGCTGGCGAATGGCGCGCTCCCGTCTGTCCGCTTGCGGATGCGTGTGAGTTCAGCGATCGTTTGCCGCGGCTTGGTACCGCCCTTGCTGCCCCCTTTGTCTCGCCCGTCGTTGTTGCTTGCTGGCGGAAAGCGCTCTTTGCTCACGCCTTGGCATTTTTTTAGTTGTTTCTATCTCTGCCAGCTTAGTTACCATACAGCAGTTCAGCCAATCTAAGCTACAGACATATGTGCTGTTGAGGGTGGGGCATTGGCGGATAATGGCCTGGGGGTGGGATTGCGTTCGTCTCAGCCTGCTGCGCGGTACCATATGGTCCAGCAGCATTTTTCTCTTACTTGTGGGGTGCACGGCACACAGGGGGGAGACAAGAGCCACACTGGTGGCCACAGTGATGCCCCCCCCAGGAACTGGCACGATGAAGGAGTCACCCCCCGAGGAACAAGAACAACACGGGTAGTGGGCCAAGGGGGGAGGGAGCATGGGTATATCCATGTTACCCTACAGCCGGGGTCAGTCGCCAGGGCGCTGGCCCCAGGGGTATCTGCCAGACATCGGGGCCCTGCCAGGCCCGTCGCCGCATGAGCTACAGCGCTGGGGTCAGCGCGTGCGGGGCGCTTGCGCGGAAGAGAAGCTCCAGCGGCCTGGGCGCTGAAATATCAGACGGGCTGGTACAAAAGTAATTGCGCCCTTCCGCCGTTCGTGGCAGTGCGCGCCCGCAAACTGCCTCGGGGCATGTAAGTAAATTAGGCAGACGGAAGACAGGCGCCTCGGGTTGATTTCGAAGACCTCGGCGGCCCATCTGCGGCAGTGGTCGCATCAAGAGTTGGTGCGCTTGGCAAAGAGTGCTTTGTCTGGCACAGAACGCGCGTTGCAGTCGCATCGCTCGCGGACGACGTATTGCACATGTATCCAAATGTATCGCAGGTGGGCAAAAACATTGTCAATGTATCGCGCTAGCGGGTTGTATTGCAGTGCGTTGCGAGAGTTGTATACCATGCAAACATCGAGCACTAGATTTGCGCCCCTGCTGAGCATTGTGCACGCACCAAATGTACTGCATCACCCAAATTGTGTTGTAATATGTTGCAGCTGGCGGGTTGCACTGCGCTGCTGCGCTGGTCGATTGCGGCGTGACCGTCCAGATCCGACCTGATCGCTTAGAGAGCCTGCGAGCAGCGGGCATGGGACGTGGGGTGCTTAAGAGCGTTTTCCGATTCCGATGGTTGAATCGGAAACCCGCTCGCAAGTAATTGGCTGGACTTGGCACGTCGAATTCGCACGACATCTCACAAGACCCCGGCAATGCAACTCCGTGGTGCGAATTGCGCGTAGTAGCCACATTATGCGAACGCTCCACTGTAACGAAAGATAGCCAATCCCCAACTACACCACCCCTTTTCACCTGGACCCCGTTTTGGGTTGCTTCCAGTCTGCCTGGGGGAGTCTGCGCCGGTTGCGTGTCCGTTTGCGGGATGCGATCGAACGAGGAGGAGGAGGAGCAGGAGGAGGAGGAGGAGGAGGAGGAGGAGGAGGAGGATAGGGAGGAGAAGGAGGAATGTCTCCAACTAAGAACCACAACCGCAACGAAGTGGATTTCCGTCAGGGATCCCCGGGGGAGACCCATCAACTTCGTCATGAGCATTTTGGTTGTGGTTGTGGCCGATTTGGCCGTCCTGGGACACCACATCGACCACAACCATAACGAAACTGGTTTCGGTGCTCCGTCAATCTTGGCATGCGTATGCAATTCGCCAGGGTGTATCCTCGATGTGGTTGTGGTCGCGTGCTGTCCCCGCAGTGAAGGAGGAGGAAAAGAGGAGAGGAGGAGGAGGAAGAGGAAACAGCAGCGGCAGCAGCGGCAGCAGCGGCATGAGCGGCAGCAGCGGCAGCAGCGGCAGCAGTAGGAGGAGAAGGAGGGGGAGGGATAGGATGAAGAGGTAATATGTTTGGTGGTGGTGGTGGTGGTGGTGGTGGTGGTGCACGGTGGGACTGCTGGTGCAGACACCTGGTGCACAGACGCGGACGTCCTCTCCCACATCAGCACGTGGCAGAAAGATAGGCAGGCCCCCGGCGGCTGGGCACCGGGTGGGGCCCGGACGGGGCCAGCCCCAGTCGTCGCAAGTGGAGCCTCCAGGTGAGTTGCCTCGTCTTCTCCCCTCTCTCCCTCCTCCGCCCTCTCCCCCTCCTCCACTTCCGCCTCTCGTCCCTTCCCCGCCCTCTCGATCCCCCTTCCCCGCCTGGCCTTCCTCGCACGGTCTGGCGCCAGTGCGCGCCCTCGCCCGCTTCGGTGCCCAGCCCTCGACAAGCCTCGCGACGCTCGCCAGACACCTCCTTCCGCGCCCCGAGGACGACCCCGCCTGGCGCGGCCGGGGCGCCGGGAGCACACCGAGCGTTGGGAGCTCTCCGTCGCACCCGCTGGTGCCCCGCCTCGACCTCAAGTCGATCTCGCAAAAGTGACCCTGCTGCTCTGACTTCTGCAGAAGGCACGTCTGCAACGTCGCCGCGCACGGCCAGAGCCGTCCGGAGCCCTGGCCTGGTGTGCGCATCCTCCTGGCCTTGGGCGGGCGTGCGCACCATGCCAGGGCCCAGGGGCGGCTCTGGCCAGGCACGATGGTTGCTGTGTATACGTGCCTGTGCCCATGCTTTGGCTTGCGCGCTTTCCGCAAGCCCTTCGCCAGAGCCGACGGCCGAGGTGGCAGGTTGTTTTCCGGAGCGCCGCGGGGGTGCACGGCACCTTCGCGCCCACGCTCCAGGCAGCAGTGGCTGTCGCCCAGCCAGCCCTCTCCACTCCTCTGCATCCCGCTCCTCGCCCTCTGCTCCTCCCTCTCCCCCTGCCTCTGCCCGCGCCAGTGTGCCAGATGAGGGCGACGTGTCAGTGCCAGC